CTACTCATTTGCTGGAGTGCATCTGAGACTTCATCTTCAGTCACCGGCCTAGTCAGATATTGATTCATCTCTGAAGTTACCTTTGGAGTGACTACATCCAGAATCTGCTCCATATCATCACTGCAATCAGATTTATAAAGATCAGCAACTACTGAACCATATACTACTATACGTTAACTTTATGAATAAAATATGTTTCAAATTTAATAGATACTTTGTCTCTATTCGAGTGGATATTAATTTCGCCTATGTATATGCCAATTCTTAAGATTTGTGCTATGCAATAAATCGCTTTGGTCCTTTTCTTATCTCAAAGAACATAAATTGCATACATTATCTTTTCATTCCAATGGTTTACACCATTTTTTACACCAAAAAGGGTAACATCAAAATAGTGTTGGGTTTTGTTCCAATGGTTTACACCAATTTTTACACCAAAATAGAATATTTTTAAAAGATTCTCTTTTTCAATTCTTTAAAATTTACAAATCAACCCATTTTTTTTTAAGTTTTAAAAATTATGAAATAAATTAAATTTAACATTTATTATATAAAAGAAATACACTGTAACATATAAAATAACAAAATATACTAAGTTTTTGTTTAATTATTATCAAACATATTAGATTTTGGTTTTAACCATCACAATTTGTATATGTTTTTCATTAATTTTAAAGTTGATTAAAATTTAAATGACCTTTTTATAAATAAAAAAGTTCAACACCAAAATGGTGTAAACCCATTTTCTACACCAAATTTGGTGTAAAAAATGAGTTTACACCATTTTAGTGTTGAAAATAGTGTTGGGTTGGAGAGGGTTTTACACCAAAAAATAGGTTTGGTGTAGGATTTGGTGTACCATTGGAGATGCTCTTACTATTTTATTTTGAAGTTAGTGTGAACTAATCCTCTAACCATTTTTCTTTTTTCTTTTTTTGTTGTCACCCTTTTTTCTGTTAGGATATCAATCCAAGTTCCACATCGGAAGTTTAGACAAGAATTGTCTAATATATAAGAGATGTCCAACTCTAATTAGTATGAGGCCTTTTGGGAAGGAGCCCAAAGAGAAATTCGTGCGGGCTTTACCATTTGGGCCCAAAGTGGACAATATCATACTACTGGGAAGAGTTGGACATGCACTTGAAAAGCCCAACAATTGGTATCAGAGATAGATTCAGAAAAGGTGGACCAGGAGAAGTGGGTGTGGGCTGCAAGTTCGTTGTGGGAGGAGAGCCCTCAAGGTGACCTCGCGATTAAGGGGTGTCGGTGCCTTGTGTCGAAAGTCTTCCTAACTAAGCGGAAGGTTAAGCGGCGGGTTCGGTTGGTGATTACGGCGGTACAAGATGAGTGCCATGTTTCGCTGGAGGTGAGAGGACATAGGTCTATGTGGTCCTTGGTTTGAGGAGAGGATTGTTGCGATATCAATCCAAGTCCCACATCAGAAATTTAGACAAGAATTGTCTAATATATAAGAGATGTCCAACTCTAATTAGTATGAGGCCTTTTGGGAAGAAGTCCAAAGAGAAATCTGTGCGGGCTTTACCACTTGGGCCCAAAACGGACAATATCATATTAATGGGAGAGTTGGACATGGATTTGAAAAAACCCCATATTTTCATTTAGATAAGATAACGTGAACGTACTAACATAATTAATTATATTTTATTTCTTATCAGTTTCGCTATTCTAAAATTTATTTTCAGCTCGATACGGATAAGTAAACAATATTTAAAACTTGTCATACAATGAGTTACAAATTATTGTTTATTACTATTAATTAC